TCAAGTCTCGAGCTCATTATAATGTACACGACATTTATTATGATTTAAATTACACTTATCGTCGTAGTATACATGCAACTGCGCTTGTATAGGTGCACCGTAATAACCTGTTCGGTTGAAAATTCAGTGTTATTAGCCTGTCTGTCGCGAGAAAAGTTTGTTTTCCCTCAGACGCGCAAAAAGACCAGGTCTGAAAGGGTACTCACGGTTGATCGTGGCAACGAAGACGGTACTTGTTCGGCGAAATATCCTTGAGCAAAACGCGGCTACATAGAAGGCATCCTGAAACAATGCCGATTTTCCGATCCTCGTTCGAGTCTGTCTCGTAGCTCGATGCGGCGGGAGTCCCTGGGGCGGTGAATAAAAGAGGAGCAATCGTCGGGAGCGTTGCATCGGGCAGTGCACCGGGTCTGCACGGTCGAGCCACTGGGCGTGACAATATGCTTCTGCACAGGTGCACCGTCGAAGGTATAGGTAGGTTCCCGGAGGCGCCTTGGGAAAGAGGAACGAAGAGGAGAGACGCGGGCGTTCGCCGCCCACGCTCGATCGTCCGGCTCGCTCTTGGAGCAAGACAGGAAGACGGGAAGGTAAGAAAGGAGCGAAGAACGTGGCTGGCGTACGCCTCGTCGGAGAAAACGAGAGACAGAGAGAGAGAAGGAGAGACGAAAGCGGCGGCGATGTGTGCGTTCGAACGGGTACGTGGCCGCACACCTGTGCCAATGCAGCATGGCACAGAGTCGCATAACAGGTGGAAAGGTAAAAGAGAGAAAGAGAAAAAAGGGGGAGAGAGCGAGAGAGGGGAACCGAGGAGAGGGAGATCCCCACTCGACCCCGAGTCTGCCAACTCGAACATTACTATACGCCCTCCGAGAACCAGAGAGGAGGAGAACGTTCAGACTACCGCCTTCCTCCTACGTTCTCTCTCGCTTCCTTCCCTCTCTCGCCCCGCCGCCGAACCTCTCCTTTCCTTCACGGTCGCACTTCCGTTTTAACGTCAGCTAACTCTCGAGGCGGTGGCTGCCGCGCAAACGCCGCCGACAAATGCGTTTTCACTCGGTGCCGATGAAATGGCCGACCAGAAAACGTTCTCCACCCTTGAAAGCGTCGACACGCGGCGAAACGCGAGAACGACCTTCTTCGTCCTCTCGAGAGATCGCTTCCTCGCACCACAGATTTTCGAACCGTGTGTCCAGATCGACCGGAGGTTCCCGAGCTAATTTTCATCGGGTCCCGTTAAATGTTACAGCATACAACATTTAAGACCAGCCAAGCGATACTTTTTACCCAGAATTCATTCGTAAGAACAGCATTAATTTAAAAGTACCTTGGTCGAATAAGACTGTGTAATTAGCATTTCGAATTGGGTTGAAGGTTATTATCGTGAGAATGGCAGAATTTGACTGGTCAGGTAATTTACTTGACTTGGACGCCATCAAAAATGTCTGGGGCAGTGGTTCCCATCTTGTGCGTTTGCAAATATTTTACTATTTTTTCTTCTAACTATATCACAGTTTTATAGTTGTCCAAGTAGCCCAATACCCGACGGTCATCCGCTCGAATATAGATGTTATCGTAAACACGTACAATTAGGATAATGTACCGAATGCATATGACAGGCTCAAAGCTACTGTTCGATTACTCGAAAACGTATCGGTGAGAATGTTCGGCTACCTATTCTGCATTGGTCAGATAGCTATTGTACGGTCAGAATGCACGTAATAGCGTTCAGGTATCCAGTGGGCAACGGCTGAAAGCGTGTTTGCTTAAACGCGTTCGCAGAATTTTGCCGCGAGGTGAATTTAGCGGGACATCGGAAGGGGCGCGGAGGAGAGCCGTCTGTGCAGCACGTAAATGACTGGCATAATAACGGTAATACAGCGGGTATTATCTGCACGCGCTCGCATTTTTGCGGGCAGACAGGTTTCTCGGGTCTCTAGCCGAGCGATTCCATCAGCTAGCGAAGCTGTTTCGCTTCCACGCGATGACCCGCGTCTTCTCAGGTCGCCAACAACTATCCGAGTCATCGCGATATCGTTTCAGATAGGATCGTCGATCGAACGTCCTATCGTTCACGCATTGTTCGCGTATTATCCTCGTTCGATCGTCTTTGCGATCGCCTAACGGCTTTGCGTTTCCGCGGGACGATTCACCTCTAGTCGACCGGGTTTACCGAGGAATGCGCACCGTCGTGCAGATATTTTGCAACGTAACGTCCGCTTTCGAACCGGCATTATCATATTTTAAGATAGATCATTCCATGCATCGACGATTAAGGACTTTCAAACGCAGAAATTAATAATTTGGGGAACTTTGCAACTTTATAACTCATCGAAAAAACCTGCATTTGAATTACAACCATTTCATAGTCCACTTTTCTATTAGCACATCCATTAAAAAATATAAAAAAACATTTTAGCAAGGTTGGTTCGGTATGTTCGAATAACATGTACGCGTAGCTCGAATAACATGAAAATTGTAGCAAAAATGCGAAATAAGCATTGCTGTTGTTGGTAAATATTGCAAAAATTTGTAATTATAAAATAGTTGAGATTGCGCAAATTTATTTTCTGTATATTTTATTAGAGCGCTTAATTATTTTTTATCGCGATAATTTATTTTGAAATGAAAATAACGTTATTCTTCGCAACTATTGTTAGTATTGTGTTATTCCATGTATGGTCATTTCAACGGGGTAATAATTTCTCGCGACGGGTGTTTCCGCGCGTACGTGATTTCAATCAACTCCGAATCCGTGACGAGCTGATTCGCGCGATTCTGTTCAAAGAAGAGCGGCTCGACGGAAATACGAAGAATTCAGATGTAGATTTCAGAGATTCGCCTCGAAGAGGTTTCGTTGTTCGCGTTATTCGAGCATAGAACGGTAGATACAATTTAAACGACGAAGGGGTTTCAGCTGTCGCTTGCGATTTGAAAATGAACGTCCGACGAGCTGACTGCAACTATTAATCGATAAAGTTTATGGGTGAAATAGAAAAATAAAGTGATTTATAAACAGATCAAGAATAAGGCCTCGAGCATTTAATTATCGATGCAACAAAATTCAAATTTAGAATCATTTTATGATGTATTAATTGTTTAATTGATGAAATCGTTTCCGCGTTAATCAACGTGTTAATTGAATATTGAATACATCTTTTCATCGGTTTATTCGCCATCATTATCGAATGCAAATGAAACTTACATTGATGAATGTAAATGAAATTGACCGACAAGAAGCTACTGCCTTCATTACGAGATCATCTGTTTAATTACCGATACGTTGACTACTCAAGGTATCACAGTAGGATTTGCAAATGGAGCTTCTGATCGTAGACACGAAACATTTTTGAACCAAGTAAAATAGTTTATTCAAGCGTCGTCGAGTAGCCTCTCAATTTTATGTCCGTAATTCTGAAATATTCCGTATAATTGTTGAGATTGTATCTTTCTATGCTAAATCCGATCATTATCGTTCTTTCGTTCGAGGATCGGCAAGAACGCGTTTTCCTCTCCCCTTTACACGGGACTAACGATCGCGTTTAGCGAAACAGTACACGAAGATAATTAAGTTTAATTGTGTACAGTGTACACGGTTCCATACAGGTTTAATTGAAGCGATTTCAACCCGACGATATTTGTTTAACTACACGCAGTAAATAGGGTTGTTGTACCCCGTTTCCCGGTAATAACCAAATATACAAATAATTTATTACCGGAATCCCTTAAAACCCACATACTTTTAAATGTTCCCATTCCTTGTTATGCTCTTACTTATCATTAATTGGATTTCTATAGATTATGATCTTAAAATTTTTACAGGATCTCTTTGTATTTTACCTATGATTAAAATTCTAATATGACCCTAATTCTGGTGTCTGCAAATTCTTCCCGGGTTCCAAGATCGAAAGCAAATAATAAGAGGCTCCAACTTTCCCCTAATGAAGAAAAGTCTACATTCGAGTGTGCAGAACGTGTACGTTCGATAGCTAAGTTAAACGCGGATTGGGAACGGGATTGATCACCGGACTAAGAAGATTAACGGATACTGAAATAAACGTCACGTTGTAACGAGTAAGTTGGATCACGGAACGGCTTAACAGTACTAGACAAATTATCAGCTATTGATAGCTCCTTACCGATCTCGGCAAATTCGAGCCCGCTAATCTATAAATTTAGAGCCTCCCCCTCCCCTCGTTCCTCCATCGGATCGATAAATCTCTAAACGTAATATCGTCTCGTCACGTGTACGTCTGAATTTTGTATCGGCGTTATTAGCTTGCCAACCATGCTGTCTCAGACAATCAATTTCTCTGTTGGCCTCGATTAGCCGAAAATAATTCGCTGCAAGACCGCGTTAACCTCATCGGAACCATAAGCCGCGTAAAATCGATCCGTTCGAATGGAACGCGCGAGTGTTGTGACGAAATGTGAATGTGCATTATGAAAGGATCACGAGCGATTGTACAATTTCCTTTGAAAATATGGTAACCAGATTTTAGTGCGTCGGCCAGCGAGGGAGATTATAGGTGATCCGTGTTACGAAGTTCACTTAATCGGATAATTAACGCGCTGAACAGCGTTGCTATTTATTGACGAATATTAAGAGTTTAATATACAGGGTATTCCCGTAATATCGATTGCTCTTCTCGTGTGCAAAGATTTAAATAAAACGCGAAAACTCTATGGTCTGCTAGAAACACTTGTGTCAATTTTTTATATTTTCACCTCTTGAGACTTTCAGTTTTTTAAACTAAATTTTTTAGTATCGCATGGAAGAGTGTGTCAAGACAAATTCACTCGCGTCCACATCAGATGCAAAAAATTAAAGATAATTCTAAGTGCAACAGTATTAGCGTTACATGTTGCAATACACATATTGTAAAATTTAAATTTAGAAATGAAATAATTATGTGTATCCAGTCTGAATAATCGAGTAATATATACAGCAGTAGTTATGCTACAAAATTATACTATAAAATAAATGGAAGAAGTAATCCTACCTTCGTCTGATCTTGCTGTTGCAGCAATTGTTCCCTGAGCAGCTGCAGCTGCAGGATCATCTCGGATAGCCTTCGTTCCTTTTCCGCGAAGCTTTCCGCGCACAGGACCCTGTGCAAAGCCGAGGCACCATCCTGTTGAACTTGTCCTTCCGTGTTCTGCATCCTTCCAGAGGCTGGGGGTGAGGGTGCCACGCTATTTGGCACGCTGGCGACGCCTCCGCTGCAACGTACACCATTGGACTACGGTCAATTACGTTCTGGTAGCGCGTGTATGCGACAAGGGAAACCACCCCTCGTTCATCCCTCTCATTTATACGAGAGGGCGTATGTCAACGTGCCTTATCAAATCTCTGCGTCAATTGTCTTCCAAGGTCAATTTTTACCATATTTAATTTCGTTAGGAGGAGATAGATCATTTAATAGTTGCATTCACATTTGCAAGTTTAATTGTGTAATTTAAATTATCTATTTTTCTGAGGTAGAACTTCCGAGTAAAACTGACGTTGACCTCTTCGAGTCATGCTTGCACGAAACCTCGGGCGGTGACCTAACCGACGAATGGTCGCCTAACTTCCCAGGGACAGTTTTCGTAAATAATCTCATCTATCTTGTCTACAGTAAAGAATGTCTGTCGATGAGTTTAGATCTCCTTAGCATGTACAATGCGACCATTTGTCTCTGAGACGTTTATAACGTAAACCACTATAGTCATTGAGTGCGACTGGACATGCTGTGGTTCCAAGTACCCCAAAGAGCTTTACTCTTACTTCAGACTGATCAATATAAATTCTCAAAATTTACAGTGCCTCAGATTAGGTTGTCAAACTATTAGTATAGACAAACTATTAGACTCCAGGATACCTTCAAGCATGTATAAGGTGTCCTATTCTAGTTCGTCGAAACAGGTGTTTAGTTTTCCGCGGATCATGCAATACAGGCGGAGTTGTCGAGGGAAGAGTTTATTCCTGGTCTCGCAAGAGTATCCAACGGCAGAGTCTCTGGAATGGAATAGTGGTCGGGGTACATAGAGGGCCGGGAGCCAGGTGAATAATAGATAGGGTCGCGGCCGCGCAATCACGGCAACCCGAGTGTTTGCCCCCGTGATGGGGTGTTCCTTTCTACCCTTTTTCTACGTTTCACTCTGACGCACGCGTTCCCCGGCCGCTCGCCGTTTCTTTCTAACCCCCTGCTGGTCTACGCCCCGGAGCTCTCGTTCCTCTTTTATGCGCAGGAAAATGGACCACGAATAAGTGATACGGACGCATTGTACGGTGGCGAGCGACCACGATGAGCGAGCACGAAATCGCGAAGGACATCGTGAACGAGGATAAGGATGAAACGGGCCGTGTGGACTTGAAAGAACGCCGTCTTTCGGAATCTGGGGCAATACGTGTCTGTCTGGGACGCGTGTACCGCGTTTCTTATGGGTCAACGTTAAAGGGACCGAATTTTAAAGATGGTCTGGTTTTCAGCGATTTTCATAAAAACTTGCAGGCAAAACGTAGACTGCTCTGGAAATCATAATGTATTTACAAGTTGATCTTTTTAAAATGCATTTAAGCATAAGACTTATTTTCGTGTAATCTTTCATCGCGTGTTTTGACTAAGAAAACAAAGAAAAGTATTTGTTGCTTCAAATCAAGAAAAAAAAGAACACGAATCTAACTAGACAATGTCAACAATTTAATGTAAATTTAATGTAAATTTAAATTTAATGTAAAATTTAAATAATAATATGGAAATGTAATTGTCAAAATTCGCGAGGTAGTTTCGGGCAAACTAGAAGAGTTTATTTTTGCCACCGCGTTGGTCGAAAATAGGTGCGTTGTAAAATTGGCCCGATAAAAGAAGCAACTCGGTGTTGACAGTTTATTTTTGGAAAGCTAAATCCACCGAATGTGTCGGTCGACGAAGAAGGGATGATAATGGCAACAGAATGAGCCTTTTGTTGCCTGATACCGAGGTCAACAGGCGCGAATAGAATCTTGTAGCCGCCCACCGTGCGTTATTATCGCGTGAAAGAAAGCCACGCACAGCAAGGGTCTTTCATGAGCGTGCAAGGATAAAAGACGTTCTTCGATAAGTAACGGTTTCACGATGCACGATTTTTGTTCTGCACGACCAGACAGCCGCAAGAAACGTGTACACTGTAACGTCTAATTAAATTCCTCGAGCACAATGCGGAATTCATTTACCAGCATCCTTTGCCAGCCAATTTTTCTCTTTGACTCCTCTTGTTCCCTTCTCTCTCGTTAAAATCTCGATATTCCGCCGATAATACTTGTTTGAGGCTTAGTTATTTTGTTGAGGATGGAAGATTTACTGGAGTGGGTGAAGGGTTGTGTGGAGATTTATGGCGATTGTGGAACTTACGAATTTTTGAATTCTTGTCAAGAAAATTTCCGTAAGTCCAAATTTCTTAATAGGATTTTTGAATCGTCAAATTTTCTAATTTGTAAATTTCGAAATTTTTACATTTCCAGGTTCTGAGGTAAATTTTTAGAGTATAGAGAATCCCAGAATCAAAGATCGAATTCCAAAATTTTCGTATTCTTGAATTTTCACTTTTCCATAAATCCAAATTTCCCAATTAAATTTTTGAATCGTCAAAATTTATTAATTTGTAAATTTCGAAATTTCTACAGGTCCTGTGCTAAATTTTTAGAGTACAGTGAATCCCATAATCCAAGATCGAATTCCAAAATTTTCGTATTCTTGAATTTTCACTTTTCCATAAATCCAAATTTCCCAATTAAATTTTTGAATCGTCAAAATTTATTAATTTGTAAATTTCGAAATTTCTACAGATCCAAGGGAAATAGAAGTGAGAATCCCAGAGTCGAAGATCGAGTTCCAAAATTCCCGTTTCCTTTTCTGTCCTCCTTTCTTTACTTATCGTTAGCTTAAGCTCGCTGTAACATACGTTCATTATGAAATTGATAGTTTTATCTGTGGCGTGTACGCAGTTTATATCGTTGAATGCTCGCACACGCGTGTCACGCATGGTGGAAGTTGGCAAGCAGATATTAGTATCGAATGTGGAGCGTGTAATAATAATGTACAAAACATTTTTAAACGCGTCATAATCGTTTCCATTCGCACTCTTAATTGTAAACATAATTTATACATAAGATATACAGTGTTTTGTCTTCCTTCAGGTTCTCCCTAATTCTTCTCTAAGATTATTTTATGTCCTTACGTTTTTCCTGATCTCACGTTATGTCCTTACGTTTTTCATCCCTTAAAATTTCAACATAAATTTTCTTCCTGCAAACTACATTTGTCTCAGTATCTGAGGATTAAGCAGAGTCTGTACCACAGCCAACATTTTTTGTAAGCGTACTTCCTCTATCACTCATTTATCAAGCTTAAAATTAGTACACACAAAATGATACTGTGACGCAACTTCTTCCTCGGTTTATCTCTGCTTATCATACTTGCTTCTATTATTCCTTCGAGCCACCTACGCCTTTATAAACAGATAACGATCAGCTCGTTAAATAAAATTAGAATTTTGTCCCTCTAAATCATCCTATCTAAAGAAACATTTAACCAAGAACAAAGAACAACAACTTTATTATATTATCCTTAATTTTCATTCATTGTAATAGCGACACATTAAAGGACTGGCATTTATCCCGCGTGCAGCGTAACGAGCCTGTTGTATATTCGGTTTAAAAGATCTTAGTATCTAAACCGAATAACGATTACAAGCGAACAACACTCTTGTTATTGAAGAAAACAAATTTTAATCGCTGATTATATATCAATTATAACACGGGACTACAGGCTATCAGGTTGAACTTCAAAAGACTTCATCGAAGTCCGAGATGCTTTTCGTAAATCATTACCGAGCGTGAAATTCGCAATCGAGCGTTAAACAAGTATTTCAGATCCGAGTATCTCGTTGTACGGGGAGACAAACGTAGTGGTCGAATCCGGAATTGAATGTATTCCAAAAAACGGGGGAACATCGGGCGTAAGTGGTCGGTTGTCATACAGTTGGCTGAATTTTTTTTTCTAATTTGTAAATTTCGAAATTTCTACAGATCCAAGGGAAATAGAAGTGAGAATCCCAGAGTCGAAGATCGAGTTCCAAAATTCCCGTTTCCTTTTCTGTCCTCCTTTCTTTACTTATCGTTAGCTTAAGCTCGCTGTAACATACGTTCATTATGAAATTGATAGTTTTATCTGTGGCGTGTACGCAGTTTATATCGTTGAATGCTCGCACACGCGTGTCACGCATGGTGGAAGTTGGCAAGCAGATATTAGTATCGAATGTGGAGCGTGTAATAATAATGTACAAAACATTTTTAAACGCGTCATAATCGTTTCCATTCGCACTCTTAATTGTAAACATAATTTATACATAAGATATACAGTGTTTTGTCTTCCTTCAGGTTCTCCCTAATTCTTCTCTAAGATTATTTTATGTCCTTACGTTTTTCCTGATCTCACGTTATGTCCTTACGTTTTTCATCCCTTAAAATTTCAACATAAATTTTCTTCCTGCAAACTACATTTGTCTCAGTATCTGAGGATTAAGCAGAGTCTGTACCACAGCCAACATTTTTTGTAAGCGTACTTCCTCTATCACTCATTTATCAAGCTTAAAATTAGTACACACAAAATGATACTGTGACGCAACTTCTTCCTCGGTTTATCTCTGCTTATCATACTTGCTTCTATTATTCCTTCGAGCCACCTACGCCTTTATAAACAGATAACGATCAGCTCGTTAAATAAAATTAGAATTTTGTCCCTCTAAATCATCCTATCTAAAGAAACATTTAACCAAGAACAAAGAACAACAACTTTATTATATTATCCTTAATTTTCATTCATTGTAATAGCGACACATTAAAGGACTGGCATTTATCCCGCGTGCAGCGTAACGAGCCTGTTGTATATTCGGTTTAAAAGATCTTAGTATCTAAACCGAATAACGATTACAAGCGAACAACACTCTTGTTATTGAAGAAAACAAATTTTAATCGCTGATTATATATCAATTATAACACGGGACTACAGGCTATCAGGTTGAACTTCAAAAGACTTCATCGAAGTCCGAGATGCTTTTCGTAAATCATTACCGAGCGTGAAATTCGCAATCGAGCGTTAAACAAGTATTTCAGATCCGAGTATCTCGTTGTACGGGGAGACAAACGTAGTGGTCGAATCCGGAATTGAATGTATTCCAAAAAACGGGGGAACATCGGGCGTAAGTGGTCGGTTGTCATACAGTTGGCTGAATTTTTGGAAGAATTTTGGCCCCAGTATTCGCTGGGTGTGGGCAGCGTGAACTGACACAATTTTCGTGGCTTCTTTGCGGCTGCCAAGTTCATCGGTTCGCTGTCGACAAATGTGCATTGCTTAAAACTACGTTTTTGTTTGGTTTTTTAATCGCTTTGGTTATTGGTGGCACTAGTGGGTCATGGGAGATGGACAAGGGTTGATTTACTGGATTGTTAAAATTAAAAATTTGTAAGCTTTGTAAATTAGTAATTTTTCAAATTGACAGACTGTCAAATTTCATAATTTGCAAAATTATCAAATTTGTGAACTTTCAAGTTATCCTGATTACTAAATCTCGAAATTCGCGAATTTGAAAATTTATGAATCTCTAAGTTTCCGAACCCCTAAATTTCCAAATCCCTACAGATCCAAATCTCCAAATATCCAAATCTGTAAATACTCAAATATCTAAATTTTTGTATTCCTAAGTTCCCGAATCACTAAATTTCCGAATTTACAAATTTCCGAGACCCTAAATTTTCGAATCCTTAAACTTCCGGATCCACAAATCCCCGCATCCCTAAATTGTCAAACCTGTCAATCCTCAAATCTCTAAATTCCCAAATCCCTAATTTTCCAAATTCCTAAATTCTCACCTCCCTAAATTTCCAAATCCTATGTCCAAATCCCAAACTCCCCAATCTCCCAAAATCCCACTTTCCCAAATTTCCAATCTCCCAAATTCCCATTCTCCCAAATTCCCAATCTCTCAAATTCCCACTCTCTCAAATTTCCACTCTCCCAAATCTCCAATTTTCCAAATTCCCATTCTCCCAAATTCCCAATCTCTCAAATTCCCACTCTCTCAAATTTCCACTCTCCCAAATCTCCAATTTTCCAAATCCCCAATCTCCCAAATCCCCAATCTTCCAAATTTCCACTCTCCCAAATTTCCACTCTCCCAAATTCCCATTCTCCCAAATCCCCAATCTTCCAAATCCCCAATCTCCCAAATCCCCAATCTCCCAATTTCCCAATCTCCCAAATTTCCAAATTCCCAAATTTCCACTCTCCCAAATCCCCAATCTCCCAAATCCCCAATCTCCCAATTCCCCAATCTCCCAAATTCCCAATCTCCCAAATCCCCAATCTCCCAAATTCCCAATCTCCCAAATCCCCAATCTCCCAAATTCCCAATCTCCCAAATCCCCAATCTCCCAAATTCCCAATCTCCCAAATCCCCAATCTCCCAAATCCCCAATCTCCCAATGCCCCAATCTTCCAAATTTCCAAATTCCCAAATCCCCAAATTCCCAAATCCCCAAATTTCAAAATTTCCACTCTCCCAAATCCCCAATCTCTCAAATTCCCAATCTCCCAAATCCCCAATCTCCCAAATTCCCAATCTCCCAAATCCCCAATCTCCCAAATTCCCAATCTCCCAAATCCCCAATCTTCAAATCCCCAAATTCCCAAATTCCCAATCTCCCAAATCCCCAATCTCCCAATGCCCCAATCTCCCAAATTTCCAAATTCCCAAATTTCCATTCTCCCAAATCCCCAATCTCCCAATTCCCCAATCTCCCAAATTTCCAAATTCCCAAATCCCCAAATCCCAAATCCCAAATCCCAAACTCCCCAAATCCCAAACTCCCCAAATCCCAAACTCCCATCTCCAAATACACCCCGCCCCGAATATAATCGCGTTAATTATGCAGCACTACCGGTATCGTTCCAGAAACGATTCAGTTTCCTGCTTATCGATTGCCAGATTATACTCTAAGAAGTCCTAAATCCCATCTCCAAATACACCCCGCCCCGAATATAATCGCGTTAATTATGCAGCACTACCGGTATCGTTCCAGAAACGATTCAGTTTCCTGCTTATCGATTGCCAGATTATACTCTAAGAAGGAAACTGATACCATAATAGAAGCTCGATGAATTATTCTAATAAACGTTTCTTGAAATTGACGACCGGCGATCCATAATTAGCCACGTGTGGATAAACGATTACTCCGCAGTCTCGACTTTGTACATTGTATGAAGGATTCAGTGGGAACGGAAAAACTTGACTGGCCCCCATCGTTTCGATACAAAGAATCAATTCATTGACGGACCTGATTACATACGGCAATTATTATTACGTGACCGTGCGATATCGTTGAATGTAGACTAATCGTTTCATGCGATAACTTCGACACAAGCTTCGATCGCGGTTAATTTCAATCATTATGTTTTTTATTTTCCGATAATTATTGCCTTTACTGGTACACCAAGGATTTAAAAACAACGTTTGCGCAGAAAAAAAGTTATTGTTTTTGAACTGTATTGCAGGTATAGTAGACTCTTGTTATATCGCCATTTTACACTTTTGTATATATTGTGGGGTTTGATAGGTACAAATACTATAATATTATGATATAATGCTAGATATAATGCAATGTATACTGTGTACTGTATCTAGAATGTATACTGTAGGATACAGGTATCCAAATCTTATTATATTGCCACACTTCCCTTTGCCATAAGTTAATCACGCAGATTCCTGCCTAACTGTTAATACTCCTTGCCTAACTGCATGAAACGATAGAGAATTATGTATCTCAAATAATGCACCGAGATGCTTAGAATATAAATTTACGAGGCCGTAATCTGAAGAAGGGTTGAACGTATCGCTCCGAAAGTGATTTAAGGAGGGAAAGCGAGTGACCCGATAGGAGTTATAACGTCGAATTTCCGTCGCTTTTGTCCTCTGTATCAGTGACTCGCGGTGAATAACAACTTGGACCGCTTAAATTTGGCCCCGCGAGTGGTCCACAAAAGCGTCCATTGTTCGAAGAACGACAAGATCCACAGATTCCAGTCGTAAACCGAGTCTTCGTTACCGAACAGATCCATCTGAGAAATACAAAGAGAGCGGGCGAAAAGGAAGTCGGAAGAAGGGAGAGAGCCGGACAAAAAAACAAGGGGTCTACAGAGAGCCCGAAAATATCCGACTTCTCGGCTCGAGGACAAAGAAACGTGTCTGAAGAGACGATAAGAAATCGGACGAGTCGACGTTCCATCCTGGAAACCTCGTGTCGCATTAGCTGCTACTCGATCAAAACATTAATCTCTCGCGATTCCTACATTTTGCAAATTCAGTTCAATTTATTGGTCCAACTGTACAATGTTGTAATACTTACAATCAGGATAAAATTGGGTAGAGTTCATGGAGGGTCCTCGTAATATGCCTATCAAGAATTCGACCGGCGGATCGGCTACTGAAGCACTAGTTATCCGAATTCTGACGAAGTATCTCGAAATTGTGACGAATATTATTTCTTCATATTCTGTCGCAAACTTACTTATCTTATAAACAAAACAGAAGAATGTTATCCAACATTTGGGTCACGTAACCAAGATTACCAAAAATACACGCGACACGTTTAGCCGGTAATCGAATTAGTTCACGATCGGCGAAGCTTGCGAAGGAAATCGAGACTCATCGACGAGTCGACCGGCCGGGTTTTATAATTTCAATTCGGTCATTAAGCGATAAACATTTTCGACGAGTCGAGGAGATCCGATTCGGTGGTCTATATTTACCGGTTATGTAAAAATGTATCGGGCATGCGATACGGTGAGTGGAAGACAACGGCAGATTAAACCTCGATGATTGCAACATTAATGAAATTTGTCATAACGCCGACTAATTAAAAAGAGACGTATTGCGTAACCGGCGTCGTCGAACGGCGTACGTGACACGTCGTTTTAACTGGATCTCGTAAGCCGAATCCGTGAAAACAGGAAGGAACACTCGTCAATGGAGGCACTCTCATTTCCCCTCGCTGACTAGTTACTTCCTGGCGCTGTTTAATTAATGGTCGCGCGGTATCGTGTCCGAATCTGAGAAGGGAAAACTGTAAACAAGCGATACGTGGATCATTTCCACCCTCCTCGACAGAATTATGCCACGATTTGCAATGCAAATCCAAACGTTCCCGTTGTAATTATTTGCTCCTTAAATGATTGCATCGAGCTTAAACTTTTACGAATGGCAGTTGTGACAGTGATGATATTGCTTGAGATGCGTGACGACATGTAATCGATTACGATGTAGCACGTCGTCATCTAATATACCGTGAGTGACCAACTTGTCGGTGGTCAGAAAATCCTGTATGCAGAGATTCGAAGAAGCAATTCATACAGTTTACTGTACCCTTATAAGAATATAATACCCAGAATCCCAGAACCCCGTAAAATGAGGTGAACTAACCAATGCGTGTTGTGTCCCGTCGGCGTGGAGGAGGGTGGCGGACTCGTCCGCCTGTTGTTGCTAGTGTCGTCCTGCAAGGACAACGACTCGCTGTTCATCTTGCAGGTTAACCTCTTGAGTACGTCGTCCATGGACCTCTTGGTACCCGCTGTGGTAGCGTTAGCACCGTTGCTGTTGTTGTTGTTCTGCGTGACGGTATTGTTGTTGTTGTGATGAGGATGGTTGGGGTAGTAGGGGTCGACGGTTAACGGGGTAGGCGGTGAGCCGCACTCGGAGGAGCTCGCCGGTTCCACGACACCACCCGACGAAGACGATGTGTTCGTGTGGTGATGGTGATGGTGGTGATGGTGGTGATGATGGTGGTGAGGATAATGGTAGGGTGCGAGCGTCTCCTGGCTGGACAGAAGGATCCTTTGTCCTTTGTTGGGTCGTAAAGAATTGGAGGACGGCGATGGCGAATCCCGGAGATCCGGTTCGCTGGTGGTCGCCGGCGACGAACAGCCGGACGACTCGCAGTCACCTCCTGTCTGATGAGGGTAACACTCCTCGATGTCGACGGGGGTGGTGGGACCTTCTTCACCGACGGCTACTTCGCCACCGGGACCACCGGTCACCGACGAGGTCGTATCCTCCTCCTCCTCGTTGGCGCCTGCCACTGTACCCGTGCCGCCCCCGCCCTCCGATAGCTTCGTTGGTGGTGACTTCCTCTTTGAGGACATCCTCAATCTGCGAACAGAACGGAAACGGGGCAGGTGAGATTCGTTCTTTGCCAAACTCTACGAATCTGTCAGGGAGTCCTATCGTGTCACACTTGTAACAGTTCATATGTGACGCACCACTCTCGTGTCTTCGTCTTAATTCAATTTTGGGCCAACTTTAATTATCTTCACAAAGGGTCTCTTAATACAAAGCCTGACTTTTAACTTCTTTCACTCGCCTTCACGTTACAGCAATATTATTTGTGCATGGTGCAGTTGCTCAGAAAATTATACGTTAAGTTAACGTGTTCGATACAGTGACGTTTGGGATCAGACATGCTATAATAAAGATTATCATGAACAAGACTAATCTTTCAATTTCATCTTTTAATTTGTCGATGTCACTGCCTCAATATTAAAAGCCCTCAAATAATTCACCTGTCACATATGACCTCAGTGAAAACTGACGTTTCTCGCCACACAATTTTCGCGCGAAAAGATATTCGTTGAATTGCGATCAATCATAAACGTTAACAAGCTGAAGGATGACACTGAAGAATTAATACCTGCGCGTTCGATAATTTGCATTGTAACGCGTTTAATCGAGTACGTCCGTTTTCACCGCGGTGAACGAGCTAATGCGTTCGCGCTCGGTAAACGTACGCGCATCAGAGAGGCGAGTTTCAAAGAGGTCATAAAATCACTTAGGCATGAAAAAACGCGAACAGCATAGGCGCCAATTGATGTCGCGGTGCTCAGGAACGCGTGTTGCTTCTGAGATTCGCGACAGCAATCAGTGGTTTCCTAACGGTTTAATTTACGACTCCTTATCTCGACACGGGAGTTCTGAAATCGGGTTTTCGTTGTAAAAAAGGTGTTTACAGAAATATGTGCATGGATTTTGCACTTCGAAAATATACGGAGCATTCGTGTTATTAAATGTCGAAATAGTTTGATCGAGGAATGTGTGGGCGGGAAAGTTTCGAAACGTTGTTGTTACTTTTAGAAATGTTTTCCAGAAAGTTGCTCGTTCATTCACGTGTAATACTAGTTGATAGATCATTTTCTGCCTGCTAATAACTAGTCGAGTGAGTACTTTGTTTCCTCGTGTCATATTCTTACATAACGTTCACAAAGTTGCAATCATATCACGCGACACGGTACAATTATCTGCTTTGCTAGATTTATGCATGAATATCGTTACGATCCTTACAGCTGCTATTATGTAGAATAATATTCATTCCACGTACCGCGCTGTACATTATCAATAAGCTTCTTTTATAAATCGGTGTAGCACGTGTCTCTTCACCTGACGTTTTATTGTTCAAATTTATTTACACGAACTTGTAGATATAACTTAGCCCTTTGCGCTCGAGAGGTGACTCTGTCACCATTTTATTTAATACTGTAAGCGGTTTTTTCGTGCGTCGAACAGTCTCGTCAGAACCGTAAAACATCATCTCATTACTGTACAATAACAAGCACCGAATTATCCCGCATCACTCGATGTATCGCCACGCGTTACATCGCCAATATACCAATCGTAAATGCGTCATAAGCGATTCATTTATCTCCGTTGCCAGTGTACGCGTGACCGAGCGTACTTTTTCGCGAGGAGAGCAGGCACAAGTCTTGTTGCGCGTGCAACGGAACACGCGCGTGTCGGCGCGACGATTGGGCGCGGCGGACACGTGCTTTCTCGCGAGTCGGCGCATGTGTTGCGCTCGAAAAAGCCGGCTCTCGATAAAAGAGCCGAGTTTCTACGATGAATCGACCGTCACCGAAGAATTATAGCCTACGGATAGAACCGTAATTTTGATCAAAGCATCGTTATACGCGTTTCGTAGCTCCGGGTCGCAGCCGACCCAGCCTCTCTGATCAAACGTTCGAAACGTTACGTGTACCGCTTCGACTTTGCGGTGAAATGTTGCGCGAGCAAAGTGTTTTGGCACGAAGTTGCGCTCGAAAGTTACGGAGTAAACGTAGAATATTAAATTGTTGCTAAAGATGCTTGAAAATACCGTAAATCTTTGTTAAACTGTCGTAGCAGAGTCTAATATGATAGTAAATTTGCGGGAAGTATCAAGAGATAGCGATCTATGTCTGAGAAACCTCATATTGCATGAAACAGTAGCTTTCTCGGTAACTGTCAGCCGAGGAACTGGTTTGATCCCAAAAACTACTTCATTTCTAGATGGTAACGCTTGATAGCGAACGTCCAGAATGCGTGTAATTACATAAAATATTCCACTTTCTATAAACAGGAATAGCCACGGAAACAACAACAATGTAAACTTATATTAATAACGCCTTATATCGTGGATTTTATTTGGGAAACTGGTTTACCGTATTTCACCAATTGACTCCACCTTCGCGGCAAGTATATGCATATATTATTCCACCAATGCGAAAAGAGTAGCATAAAATCAGTGGACAGGTCATGACGCGGCCTTCGTCACTAAGAAACTGCACTACAATTACGAAATTAATTCATTTCTATCTTGAACCGGTTTCAAGCGAGTATTTAAATCGCGTCTAAGTCTGCTACTTCTTTTCAAAATGTATGTACAAGATAACTCAATGTTGTTACGCGGTAGACCACGCTACAGCGTTACGCGTTAAGTTGCCACTTATATGCACACTGCAAATCAATCTTCTCTACCAAAAATTACTCTATTTCTTAAATTTCAGCTTCGAATTTAGAAATTATGTATGCATAGGAATTTGAATATTTAAAAATTGAATTATTTGATTCTTCACAAATTTTCATTCAAAGTTTACATCGCATAATATAACAGATTATAAGCTCTATTTTTCTAAAACGAAAGTTGCATGTTCTGGTAAGACAACGGAGGAGCGATAAGGATGCACTCTAACCGATAACAGTGAGGAAATAATTCTCCCCAGTGATTTCAACACTCGGGTTCCCAGAAAAGGAGAAACGTATTAGAATTGGGAATCTCCAGAAGATTAATTTCATCGTTGAAAATCATTCGCGTAAGATCGTTAGCGACGTTTAATTCTCTGGAAGCACGAAGCTGCATAATTATAGCATGCAGAAGGGGCAGAAATTGCGAACAGTAGGTTTAATAAGTAAACTGATAGGCTGTCATCTTGCGGCTTTATCGACCGTGTCTCCGTTTCCGTTGCGGAAATAATGCGCCCCCTTTCAAAAGTATTTTTTATTCGGTAGCATTCATTTTCGTGAGGATCCGTCGAAAAGTATTCGACATTTCAAGGATCGTTGATCTCTGCATATTAAACTGTACCGTGTAACTGTACCTGTGACCGTACCACAAAGGGTAGTAAATAATTAGGTGAATTTACGAACCATGATTTCGGAGACAGCGATCGATTCGTTCAGCTTTCAGGCTGACCTCACAACCTCCGTCTTCGTCAGAAGCCGATGATAATCGTCGCCGCGTATTCTCTTCTCGTCCCTCGCCCACGGTTCTCGATTGATGGAAAGAGAGTTACGACACGCACAACAATAATTCTCGCTCAATAATCACGTTTGATTATTGCGCCTCGTGCTCGATTACGTAAACCGTTTCGCGGGCACTGCTTCGACCTGCTTGAAGATCGTGACCGATTTAGATTTAGATTTGGTCATTTGGTGACGGAAATGAGCGAGCTGTCTGGCCAGTCGGTAAATTAACCAGAGATGGAGTTTAGACGTCGAGTTTCGATACGTGTGACGAAGGGTCACCGGTAAGGAGTTCATCAGGAGCTTCTCTCTTGCTTCACCCGCCTTTAACCCTTCAAATATTAAGCGAGCTGCTGTCCAACTAACTTTAATCGATTTTGAAGATTCGTACATTTGTTTGTTCACGATGAATTTTATTTAGATATGTTTTATCATAGATTGCAATTTTTTAACCCTTTACACTGCAAGGTAATTTAACTGTTTGCAAACAGCAAGTTTTAAACTTAAGTTAAAAAGTTAAATGAATTTTTTTGAGGTCACTATTTCTCTACTAGTAATTTCCACTATTGCTTGTTTCACTATGTTTATACATTATACGTGTGGTAATTCGACGCGTAGCAATTACAATGCGTGGTAATTCCACGCGTGGTAATTCGACGCGTATCAATTACAATGCGTGGTAATTCAGCACGTAGTAATTCAACGTGTGGTAATTCAATGCGTGGTAATTCAGCACGTGGTAATTCGACGCGTAGCAATTACAATGCGTGGTAGTCCAACGCGTGGTAATTCGACGCATGGTAATTGGACGCGTAGCAATTACAATGCGTGGCAATTCGACGCGTAGTAATTATAATGCGTGGTAATTCAGCGCGTGGTAATTCGACGCGTAGCAATTACAACGCGTGGTAGTCCAACGCGTGGTAATTCGACGCATGGTAATTCGACGCGTAGCAATTACAATGCGTGGTAATTCGACGCGT